CGTGAAAGGCCCGCGAGGCCCAGCCGTCCACGAAGCGCGGCTCCCGCGTGAACCACAGCAGCACCATCAGGAGGAAGAGCGCCATCACGCTGGCCTCGCCGTAGGTCATGTGACCCAGGCGCCGGTGCTCCTCTTCGATGGCGTCGCGCGCCGCTCGCTCCTTCGCCGCCCGCCCCGCCCCGCACGACCACGCTCCCCGCAGGCTGACAATCGGACGACACAAAAGAGCAGATGGAGGACACACAATTACGGGGGTCATGCAGTGGAAGTAGGCGAAGAGAGAAACGTTCGGGGCTGACCTGCGTCCGATGAAGACTTGCTGCAGTAGAATCCAGGCCATGAAGAGCATCATCAACATGGTGGGGAAGGCGAAGGCGAACCAGGACGCCGAGTTGATGACACCGCCGCTCTGCGGGAACAGCCTGCGGGACGTGGCGCTTTCACAATAAGAGCGACGCCTGCGCACGTTAGGGCTTTAGCCGGCCGCGCACTCACTGGCTCATCTGGCCCAGCAGAACCAGGTTGGGTCCTGTTCCGGTGAGCGTGGCGATGCCGCCGATGCTGGCCGCGTAGCACACGCTCAGGAGCAGGCCTTTGCTCAAACGCTTCCGCTGCTCGTCCACGCCGTCGGCCTCCTCCGCCTCCAACGCGCAAACCACGCTCGACACGGACGCTGAGGGCACAGGTTGCCAAAGTATTCACACCCCGTAGGAGCCGGGTTTTTCAAAAAAAGCTAAAGGCCGTGTGCCACCGTGCTGTGAAGGTTTGCCAGTGTTCACGAAGGTTGCCAGCACGACATGCTACTTCAGGCCTGACGAAGTGAGGCGCCTTCCCTTCCCAAGCGCGCATCTGCGAGGCTTGGCACATTCACCAAACGAATACCCCAGACTGAATTTGCCCTCTGACCTTTTGGCGCAGACGCGGGTTTGTCCTGTGGTGGCGGTTTGAGTGTTGACATCGTCACGTCCTCGCAGGTCGTTGTCGGCGCTCTGCCCTCTCCCGTTCTTTCTTCGCACTCTCCTGCAGGAGAGAAATTCCGTCAAAGAGCAACTTCCTATCATATCAGACCGAACTTCCTTTCACATCTCGTTTTTTTGACTGGCACCTCCGACGGCCGTAGACCCGCCCACCGTGTACTCACCCGTCCTTCCGGAAGCATCCGCGTCAGGCACTCGGACGACAGAGGCGCTCTGCTTTGCGGAGGCGGGGTCCGCGGGGCCCGCGACGTGTTCACGCGTCGTCTGGCGTCCTTCCTCTGCGTCGTCACGGCAATGCAGCTGGTCCAGCACGGCCTGCACGATGGGGACCATCATGGCGGCCGTGGCTGTGTTGCTGATCCACATGGACAGGAAGGCCGTCACGCTCATGAAGCCCAGCATCAGCCTGTCGTGGGACACGTGCGCCGATTTGGATCCACAGCGGAGCGTTGCAGAAACTTCAAATATGGCCAATTTCATATTTCACACAAAATGTGGAGCAACACATGCAGAGGGACAATACACCGTCAAGTATGCACTCACAACGCAGGCCTGACGCCGACCACGAGTAGGACTTTGAGCGCGATGCGTTTGTGGAGGTTCCAGTGCTCCACGGCCACCGCCACCATCAACCCGCCCACAAACAACATGTTGCTGTCTCGCAGGTACTGCATGCAAACCTGCACGGAGAGACCCCTCAGCATTTTGTTCCACATGCTACCAGCGTACTCAGTAGTAGCATGCAGTGTGCATGTGTGCGTGTGTGTGCACATTTACATCTTTGGACTGCATGATGCCGAGCAGGGGAAACAAGATGGTCGGCAGCAGCGCCGTGACGGCCAGCGGCAGGACCTCCGTGCACCAGTACAGCGCCATCAGCAGGATCACGTACGCGCACGCCGCCTCCTGCGCACGCAGATGGAGACAAGCGCAGAAAACACCGCATCGTAAGTGGAGTGCATGAAGTTCATCGGTGGCATCCGGAGATGGGAAGTAGCCCAGATGTAGCGCGCATCGACGGGAGGGTAACAGCTGGGTGTCGCGTCAGCACGAAGAAGAAGGGAGGGGGGGTGTTTGGTTGAAAAATGTGACACTTGTTGCTTTAAACGCCGACTGAGAGGGTTCTCCCTCTTTTTTTCGTCTTTCTTTTGTTTTCTTCTATGATCACGTTGACCAAAGGACTCCGAGAGTACAAGTCAGGAGCACGGCGGAGAGCGCACGCGGCAACGTCCAGGTTGGCAGCGCAAACATCTGTGACAAATGCTGGGACATTTCAAGACTTTTTTTCCCCCCATATTATCTCCTATATTATCTGTCTACATGTGTCGCTGCACCCCTTGTGTTCCTCTTTGTATGGTTGTCAGCCGTGACGACGGAAGTGAAAATGAGGAAGAGCGTGAGAAAGTAGCAAAGGCCGCCGGGAGGCCGCCGGGAGGCCGCCGGGACCGGCTGAGCGCAAACATGCCACTTGGGTTTCACTGACGGGCCGTTCGCGAGCGCACGCACGCACGCACACGTACACAAACACGTGCGCCCACACGTGTGCACGTGCACACGTGTGGGGCTGCCATGTTGTCTTTCAAGCGGGCGGGGGGGCGAGGAAGGGGGGGGGCAATATTGATGAATGGAAAGGTCGCTGAACTTGGAGCCGATGTGCTGCGCAGGCTTGTCAATCAGTGACAGGCGCGAGGGGGGCCAGAAAAGTCGAGGAATGAAAAATGCCACGCGACGCGCTCCGAGCACAAGGACTTCAACGGATAAACAACGCGTTGAGAAAGCAACATCGAGGAAATCAGTCGACAACTTGAGCGTCGCTTGTTTCCAAATGACAAATGAAAAAGTGCAAGTGCCAGTTTTCATCCTGGAAAGGTTTAAGGGTGTAAAACGACCGTGCGATGAGACACATTTTCAAGCGCGAAGGTTTAAGAATGAAAAGGTTCACCCATTTAATCCCACCGGTCACATTTGTGAAGGACAACAATGATTTAATTTACTGGGTTCTAAATTTTTTTAATACTGATTACTTCAAAGGGCCACCAATGACACCTAATTTTGACTTTTAAATGGCTGGGAAAAATTTGGGATGAAATGGGTTAAATGAAGAAGGCCCATTTGGAAGTCAAGCAAAATGGATGCATTTGAAAATGAAGATCAAAAGCCGGGAAGATGTTCCTATGAACGTTGTGAATGAACGGCCGACATTTATCAATGAACGTTGTCAAACATGTCGAGAAATGACAACTTTCAGTGAGTAAAACGCATTCACGGTGCACTTGGAAATCTTTGAAACCTTCCAATGACTCAAACGTGGGAATGAAAAATGCAACGATCAAGAAAACGACCGGCAATCAAACAGATTTCGAAATAAAACATTTAAATGGATAAAAACCTTCAGCGAATGGAAAAACACTGTTGAAAATGAAAACCAAAAAAAACATGAAATGCTTTTCAATCAATGAAGATGGAAAAGAATTCAAATGGAATGGAATGCGCGGTAACGTATAAGATAAGACAAGATAACCTTTATTTGTCCCACAGTGGGGAAATTTGCAGTCTCCAGCAGCATTTTTTTTTGGGGGGGGGGAATAAAGTGTTTAGTTGCACAAAATAAATGTTTTAAATGTATAATAATAAATGTATAAATGACGTCGCAAATTAAAACGAGACAAATATATTTTCAACTCTACGAGCGAATACGAAGAATTAAATGTATAATATTCAATGTATAAATGACGTCGCAAATTAAAACAACGAGACGAATATATTTTCAACTCTACGAGCGAATACGAAGAATGAAACAGTCATGAATGAATACAAAACATTTGACAAAAAAACGACGGAGTGAGTGAGTGAGCGAAAGACAGAATTGGCCCCGCGAATACAAAACATTTGACAAAAAACGACGGAGTGAGTGAGTGAGTGAGCGAAAGACAGAATTGGCCCCGCAGGTCACCTTGGTGCTGAGGGCGAGCGGCAGCAGGACCAGCGGAGCGAAGGCCACGACCCAGACGCCCTTCAGACGCCACACGGCGCGAAACAGTCGCACCCGCACGGGAAGGACCGCCATCGACCAGGAGCGGCAGGAGCCAAGAGCTGGAGCACCACGAGGACCAGGGCCAGGACCAGGACCAGGACCAGGACAAGGACCAGGAGGATGAGGAGGAGGAGTGCCACCAAGGTGCGGACGACGGCCTCCGGCTTCAAACTTCTTCAAACTTCTTTCTGCCGCCAACACGCTCCCCGTTCACTCTAAATAGTAGCCGTGCACGCGCGCGCGCACGCGCACGAGGGCAACAGAAAGAAGGGACGTTGCCGGTGGCCTTGCGCGCTGCTGAAGGAAGGAAGGATGAATAAACGACCGTCCAATGAAAAGGAAACGAAAGAAAGATGAACGAACAAGGGGAGGCGAAACGAACGACAGTGGTGACTGAATAAACGACGTCGAATGGCCAGTGAACGAATGACAACCGAACGAATGACCAAAATAAGATCCTCGAATGAGTGCTGTACATACATCGGTTGTCAATCCAGGAAGAAATGAGGAATAAACTCAACGATCAGTGAATGAGTGAATGAATGCGCGAGTGACGAGCGGTGACGACATGATCATTGAGTGAACCATCGACGAAGGAATGATGAATGAATGAATGAGCTCCGGTGACAAGCCAGCTCGCGGTCAGCGGGCAAGTCAAGTTGTGATTGATGTGAATCTGCTGCCCCCTCGCGGCCGCTCCTCGGTACGGTCGCGCCCGGTACCGCGGGTGCCGCGGTGCCCCGGGACGGTGGAGTCCGTTCCGCGACCACGCGAGGCGTTCACGTGACACCGCACAGACAAAAGTCGACGTGTCGCGCGAACACTTGCGCCAATGTTGTCGAAACGCTCGTCGCGCGGTGTGGATGGACAGACAGAAGTGGTGGGGGACGGAGGGGGTGAACCAAAGAGACGGACGAAGCGCGAGCGGAGCGTGCGGTCGCCATCCCGGGGCTCGGCTGCGCGTCCCCGCTCGAGAGCGAGCCGCCGACGCCGGGCGCGCGCCTCGCTGTCACGCGCGGCGACGTGGAGCGAGAGAGCAACGCTGCTGCGAGGTGAGTGCGCGTCAATCACTTTGTCCTTTCCTTCCACGTCTTCGCCCTTTTTTTTTTTTTCAACTTGACCAATTTAGGCGCGCTGCACAACCGCAATTGCTAAAAAGTCGAGACAAGTCCAACCGCGTGCACTTTTTGATCTTTTGTCGCGCCGACGAATACCGGTAGTTGGGGTGGGGTAGGGGGGCATTTTTGGGGGTGACAGCGTGTCCTCACCACGTGACCGTCCCGCAGAGGTGCCAATACTGGCCAATACTACTCGCACCCTGTACTTGGGCAAGAACGACTCTGGGGAAAAATTGAAGTCCTGATGTAAGGATGAATAACAACGATAATCATAATAATCAAACAACAAATCTTGGCCGAGAAAAGTACTTAAGTTCCGACAGAGTCATGGGGAAATCAACTGTTGGTACACTAATAGAGTATTTGTACTTGGTTACTTCTCCCCGCCGCGTGTGTGCGTGTTTGTGCGCGAGCGACGTGCACTTCGACCCTTTTGGCAGCATTCCGGTGATCAATTTACACGACCCGAGGGGCACAAACATGTTTTTTTAATTCAGGCTTTTTGGAATCTCCTACTTGTTCCTTGCCATGTCAGTGTGTGTTGTTATTGACAACAACCAAAACCTGAACTGGATTAAAAAAAAAACAAAAAAAAACACACTTTTGTTAAGTGCAGGCATAAAACCTGAAATCAGAGTGAGGAAAAATTCATGTAAAAAAAAAATTACGTGTGTGTGTGTGTGTGTGTGTGTGTTTCAGGATGAAGCGGACAACCCCGCTCCTGCTTTTGGGCCTTGTGGTCTTGGTTGTGGTTCAGGTATCGTCAGCATGGTGAATTAATGTGCCGATGCATCATTCCAACATACCAGATCAACGTCGGCCGGCAACGCCCTGGAGACGTCTTGGGGTGTCCCCGGGGTAGCTTTGAGGGTGCTTCTTGGAGTGTCTGCAGGGTGTCTCTCGGTCTTTCTTTTCTTCGGCTTGGCTCCGAGCACGGTTGCGGGTTGGGTAGGGTTGTCCCGAGGGGGTCTTCGGCATATCGGCGCTCAAAAGGGACAAGTCACCGTGTCGGCCGCTCGATCGGGAGGGGGGTGGGGGGGCATGCCCAACGCAGCTCATGCACTGTAAACGGTCCCCCCCCTCGGCCGCCGGGCGTTGACGTGGGCGTTTCGCTTTGTGACGCAGGCGCAGACAGAGGACGAGCCGGCGGCCGGCGAGGATGAACAAGCGGAACCCGTGGAGCTCTTCACCACGCCCGCCACCAAGATGGCCGCCGCCACCTCAGACTTTGGCTACAACCTGTTCCGCGCGCTGGCATCCCAACAGGACGGCGCCAATGTCTTTCTGGCGCCCATCGGCGTCTCGGCGGTCCTCACCCAGCTGGCCCTGGGTGAGCACTTTGGGGAAAATCAAACTGACACAAACTTTTAGGGGAGGTCTTGGGGTCTCTCGGGGAATCTTTCGGATGGGTCCGAGGGTGTCTGCAAGGTGTCACCAGGTTGGGTTTCCAAAGGGTCTTTTGGATGGGTCTTAACCCCTTCCGAGGGTGCCTTTAGGACAGGCATGTCCAGCGGCGGTCCTCAAGGGCTGCTCTCCGGCCTCCTGCAACACACGTGATTCAAACGATCAGATCATCAGCAAGCCGCGAAGAAGCACGATAGCGATCCTGATCCTTCGAATCGGCTGCGTTGCTCCTGGGAGAGACGGAAACCAGGCAGGACAGCGGCCCTCGAGGAGCGACTTCGGACACCCCTGCTTTCGGGGGTCTGTCGAGGCTGTTGTAAGGGTGGGCCTTAAGGGCTCGTCTCCAGGATGTCTGAAGGGCATTTGGAGGGCATCTCTGCGCTGTACAGTATTGAGAGTGTCTTTTGGGGTATCTTTAGAGCGGGTCTTGGGGTTTTGTCCAGGATGGGCGGTCTTAAAGTATCTGCAGGTTGATCTTGGGGTGATTTTATGGTGGTCAGGCTGCATTTAGGCCCGGTGGGTCTTCGCTTGTCCGTCTTCGGCCATCTTCAGGGTGTCTCTTGGCCGGATTTGCCGTGCGTGTCTCCAGGATGCCCTTCGGGTATCTCCGGCGTGTCTCTGAGCTCCGTTTCGGGTGAGCGCCCCGCAAAGCGGGCTAATGCGCTCGGTTCCACAGGCGCTTCTGAGCGTGCCCAGAGGCAGCTGTTCCGGGCGTTGCGGTACCACACCCTGCAAGACCCTCAGCTCCACAACACCCTGAGGGACCTCCTGACCTCTGTCAAGACAGGCAACAAAGGACTCAGCACCGCATCCCGCATCTACCTGGCCAGACGTCAGTCCCCGAGACCCGGACCGAATCGAAATTGCCTGTCTTGACCCCGCGCGTGCCATGATGATGCAACGCCACTTTTTCTCTCAGGTCTGCGCCTCAAGCAAGAATTCTTCACCGCGGTGGAGCAGCAATATGGCATCCGGCCCAAAGCCCTGCAGGGCGGGAGCCGAGACACCAAGGACATCAATGACTGGGTGGCCTCGGAGACCGGCAACAAGGTGCAGCGCCTCCTGGCCAAGCCCCTGCCCAAAAATCCCGGAGTCAACGCCGTGGCCGGTGCCTACTTCAAAGGTGAGAATTATCGCCAACGACAATCGAAAACGACAAAGCAGCCTGACAATAGGACAACAATGACAACATCGACACACACACACCGACGAGAGCAACGGCAAATGTGCTCCCACCAAACAGGGAAGTGGGTGACGGCGTTCGCGCCTCAGTCCTTGCAGAACTTCCAGCAGGAAGGCAAAGCGCCCGTCCGGGTTCCCATGATGCAACAGGAGAACTATCCCATCAAGATGGGCGTGGACTCTGACCTGAGCTGCACGGTGAGCCAGGAAGGGGCCGTCCGCCCACCGGGGCCCCCCGTTGCGGCCGCCCCGCCCACCAACCTCCGCCGCTTGTCTTCTCGTTGCAGATCGCGCAGATCCTCCTGCAGAACCAGGTGAGCATGTTCGTATTCCTGCCGCAGGAAGTCACCTCCAACCTGACCGCCCTGGAGGAGACGCTGACCGCGGAGTTTGTGCAAGACCTGGGCAGCACGCTGCACGCCACGCACGTCACCCTCACCATGCCCGTCCTCAAGTTCAGCTACGCCGCCGATCTCCTGACGCTGCTCCCTGACCTGGGTGAGTCCTCGGCGGGTTTACGGCGGGCCTTTGGAGGGCCGCGTGTCGGATGGATCTTCAGGTGTGCTCTCGGTTCTTCGCTCTCCCACCCTACCCTGCAGGGCTCACCGATTGGCTAGCCGACCAGGATTTGGAGAAGATCGCGGCGCAGCCCGCCAAGCTGGTCACCGTCAATCACAAGGTCGTGATGGAGATGGCGGCCGACGGCGACCAATCGGCACCCGCCACCTCCGCCACCAGTCACCTGACCTACCACATGGACCGCCCCTTCCTCTTCCTCATTCGCGATGACGCCTCGGGGGCCCTGCTCCTCATTGGGAGAGTGATCAATCCCAAGGACCTGACCATCTAATACAAGAACGCACACACACACACACACACACACACACACACACACACACACACACACACACTCTTAGCGGGTCCTAGGAGGGCGGCGAGGATGAGGGGTGATTTTTTTTTTTTAATTGTCAACATTGTCACTTGTAGTACAGTACATTCATGTGACGCTACAAAATAAACATGACAATAAAAAAAAAATAATATGCATTTTTTTTCTTCCTCTGAGAGGACTTTTTTTAACTTATCAACTTTGACATCTAGCGCCACCCTCAGGACAAAACACACACAGACACACACACGCACGCACACACACAGTGATGAACTTTCCACATGTGGATCATATCACATGCACACACATTTCCCATTTGTCTCCTCCCATCAGAGGAGTGCAAGTGTGTGTGTATGTGTTTGCTTGCGCACACGCGTGCGCCCGCCATGTGGTTTTGATTTTATCGTCACATTCCTGAGGTTAGCTCAGTGATTCAGCAAATCAGGAAAAACCCCGAAGAGAGAAAGAACGAACGAACGAAACATTTGTCACAATTAATCCACGTTGACAAAATGATGACTAAAAATACCACCACCACCAACCAAAGTACTCAGGTGGTGGCCAAAAGTTTGGTGCCAAACCATGCACACGCCCTCACAAGAGACACAAATGCACACACGTAAACAAACACACGGACTGAAATAGACCGACACACACACTCTCACACACACACATACACCGAAAACCACAGCGACCAACACAAACCCATAAACATGCACAAACCCGCACACAACCACAAATATACACAGAGGAATAAACAAATGTACAAATACACACACACACACACACACACACACACACACACACACACACACACACACACACACACACACATGCGCGCGCATGCCAGACATGTAAACTGGTTGTCGGAGACAAGATGGCGGCACGAAGCATAGGCTGCATTACATTAGCGTGTGGCTAGCAGGGCGACAGGAAGTAGCGTTGGGTTCGGGTTAGCGCAAGTGAGCCTGGTGGACATCAGTGGAACTGCAGCTAGATCGCAGGTGACGAAAAAAAATGCCTCGGCATCTAGCTGAAGGTCCACGTACTTTGTACGAGGGCACCTTTGTCCTGACGAATATTACCATCCAACACGCCAGACCAACGAATGACATCGCCTCACGAGCGCTACTCGTCCATGTGGCAGAAAGCGAATTGTGAAAAATGTGGCCCAAAGGCTCCAAAGGCTTTCCTCAGGTGTGTCCCGGGTTGACTTCCTTTTCTTTGCTGCGCTCGCTCACAAGCTCATAGGCGCTCTGATTGGCCGGCTGCGGGCCCGCAGGCCCCGCCCTCCTCCTGTGCAGGACCAGCGACGTCAAGCAGAAGCACAGAAGACCCCCACACATGAAGACCCCCTGGACGCCCAAAAACCTGCACAGGAAAAAAAAAAAAAAAAACATCAGCAAATGCCGAGTCGATACGTTTTGGGTGCGATTTAAATTAACTGACCAATTATTGAACAAAAGAATCGTTTTTGCACTGCAATACCTTGAGATACGAGTCTATGTAATGCTTTTGACCTTTGGTGAACCTTTGCTGCCCAACGTGTCAAAGTTGGCCAGCTCAACCAAAAGGAGCCGAACGGCAAAATTCGCAACGTGCTCCGTCTGTTGAAAAGAGACTGGCCTGTGTCTGAAGCGGTCCAAGTCGTAGTAGAGACAGGAAGTCTGCTTGCCGCACTCGCGGTCCCACAGGACGCACGTGGAGTCGATGACGAAGCCGTAGAGGACCGGGCAGGGCATGAAGGCTGCGGACGACATCGGCGCATCAGAACAGGCCTCGTCGGGGGGTGTAACCACCGTGACATCATCCTACTTACCCAGGACCCGGAAGAGCATGTACTGGATGCCCACCGCCAAAGACTTGTCCCGCGCCGAGACCGTCCTGTACGCACGCTCACGCAAACACAGACGCGCCAAACACACACGCAGGGTAAGCGGCCGCGCCGACGGAGGTTTGGCCGCCCGTTGTGGAACCTCCGTGCCTGAGGATGATGACAAAGGACGGCGTCTGGCACAAGGACGCCGTGAGACAGGTGGCGGCCATCAGGACCACAAAAGGCCAAAGGAGGTGGCCGCACCGGCCGCCGCAGGTTCCGGGCGCGGCCCAGCCGCCGGCCCCGCCCACGCAGCCGCACTCTGTGAAGTTCTGCACGGAAACACACGCGAAGGTTTTTCCCGCGGCGGCGACGATAAGGCGTCGGGCGCGGCGAGCGCATCGGTCCTTACCGTGACTTTGTTGGCGCCGTCCGTTTCCATGGCGATGCAGCCGGCGCGACACGGGGACGTGAACTCGACCCCGTCGGACCCGCACACCGGATGGAACAGATCCTGGGCGCACCGACACGTCGAAGCGCACCGCGTGGCCGCACGCCTGACGTGCACGCACACCCACATAGACGCGCTTGCAGTTTTGACTTTTTGCGTTGAGCTGCGTGCGGGTCGCGGTGCCGTTACCGAGCGGGGAAGACCCCGTCCACCGTCTGCGTGGGGCAGCCCAAGAGGATCAGCGGGAAGGCGCAGCAAAGGCTGAGCAAGATGGCGGCGGCGCAGAGCTTGCTGGCCCCGCCCACACCGAGAGCCCGGCGCCGCATTAGGACGCCGCCCGACACGGTTCCCAACACGGCCAGAGGGATGCTCACGCCGCCTTGGTGGAAGGGCCAGAAAATGGGTTGGCACACCTGCACGTGATCTGGCACATCCACATGCATGCACGCACGCACGCACGCACGCATGCACGCAAACACGTCCGCAGGCACTCACACACACACACACACAAACAGACACACTGCTGGCACCGATCATCACGTTGGAGAAGTCTGCCGTCTGGCTGAACTGCTTCTCGATGAACTTGGCCATGAAGGTGGCGAGGCCGGCCACCATGGCGGAAAGGTTGACCTGCGCCAGGACCACCAGCAGGTAGACGGGACTCCGCAGGGTCCGACACAACATGGCGGGAAAGCCTAAAGGAGACACGCCCACGATCAGACAAGAGCGGCGCTGACGGGAAGTAGGACAGGAAGCAGACGCTGACTTTTAAGGAAGTGAAGAAAGCTGACTTCCTGGAAAATGTCCGGCGGCCGCTTTTCGTCTGCTTCCGACTCTTCCTGCGCAAACACGGCAACTTGACGGCGCGAAGGCCTCGTGACACGACAACGGCGCCGCGCCGGCAGCGTCCGCCTGACCTCCGGCGCCATGCTCCGGGGGAAGAAGAAGTACGGCAGCGCCGCCACGAAGAGAAGGCACGACGCCACCAGGAAGCCCAGCCACCAGGCGCCCACCCAGCGCAGGTCGCCGCGATCCAGCTCCACCTCATCTGACACAAACACACACAAACACGGTACATACGGAGCGTAC